AAAAAAGAACATTTGGAAATAAATCGTTAGGCACTTATGCTCGACAGAATACTGACAATAGTCAAAAGACAAGTATAAATGTTGCAGGCAACTATTAGGAACAAACCAAAATCTTAAATAAAATCCAAGTGCGTTTAAGATCAGGTTGAGATTTGCGTTTCCATGCAGGCTCAAAAAACCGTAACTGAGGTTCCGACAAAATAAGAACATGCTCTATTTCGCTAAAGTTTTCACGACAGCTATAATTATAACACAAGTACATACAGTACATAATGTACAGTCTCCGTACATTTTAAAAAGATACACCTACTCAAACATGTTAAATCAAAGTGATCATATCTTTGCTGTCAAGATGTACCGAACTCTGTTATACACATAACGTAAACATACACAGATAGGGTCAATGTGATCAGGTTATCGACAATTACTGAAAGATAAAAGACTAACATGCAATCTAACGCCATATATATCTAATAGCTATATAGGATTTTCAAAAAGATATTTACCATATTCTATGCCGGTCAACAAAAAGATGAGTCCAATGGTAAAAAACGTCAGCTTCTTTTTCCGTCCATGATCCATAGTGATGTGCTGTGCTATACACTGTTAGTGTTAAACCTCATTATTCCGCAGGTATATTTAAATTTTAGCATCTCCACAAAAACAGCGCAGTGAACTTAATCTTCGAGGAGGTGCTTCCAATTAGAGCCAGTGCGTTTGACTACTGTGGGACACAGGAAATGTATTTAACCGTCGGCAAGCACCTACTTCTCCTATTAGCTGCCAAGTGTGTGCCTGATTGTATTCAAGGGTTCGGCCAGTAGAACTGACAGCACATTTACGAGAAAAAAGATTGCACAAGCAGCCAACCCATTCCTGCGCATTTTAATCCTGGAATCTTAACTTCCGGGTATCTTATTTCATCTCGACCAATCACAAACTCGGATTCACCTCGCAGACAGTTTAAGGTGTGCCTCTAAAAACTAGTTTTAAACAAAACTTTCAAACGTCATGTGTGGTTTCCCAACATGAAAATCGTCCCTCTCCCAGTTGTTGTGTTTGATTTACCAGAATTTAAAGTTGTGCAAAGTCAACACGGTTGTTTACTGATCATCATTTGTGGAATTCCAAACATCGAAATACGGGGAAACATTTCGTCATAGAGCTAAAACCAATTTCATGTAGGAAAAAACAAACAAACAAACTTTCCAAACCTCAATGACCCGTGACTTTTAAAAATTACTCGATCACTGTTAAGTCCAAATAGCCAAATAACCGATTGCACAGCACCATCACCACTCCCCAAATCACCAAAAGGTGCATATACTGTACTGAAACACTGTCGTCAGCTACATTAAAATCGAATCTGATATTCTCACACGAAGTTGTGAGAACTTAATTTTCATTTAGGAAACTAACTGTGAAAATACACCCAATTGAAGTCAAATATATTTATGTCTTAATTTTTCTTTGACAGTTAAAAGCGTGCTTAAATTTAAAAATGGGAGATAGGAACATTTTAGAGTCGACCATAGGAGTAAGACCGCCATCGCATTTAAATGTGCAAAGTATGCAAGGTTTTGTCTGTGCTGTCATGTCTTGAGTCTTTTGCAATGCTCCTCATGGCGTCACCATCCTGTGACATCCATTACCAATGTGACATTGTGCTGAAATTCCATACAACACCCTCCCTCTTTCAGTTCTACCCTTAATTAAATTTTGACGATTGAGTGTCCACTATTCTCAGAGTAACAGGCTCCAGAATGCCGAGGTATAAATGGTCCTCTGACAATTTGGGAACAAATGTTCTAAATTTCTGATACTCAAATTAGCACAACAAGCCAAAAACATTTTAAATGCTCAAGTGACACTATTTAAGATGAGAGTGGTTGCTAAATACACATGGATCATTGATTTTATCTCAAGAAAATAGTTATTTTTAATGCAGTAGAATCTGCAACGTTAATGTGCATTGTGCAATGACAAACAGACTTTTCTATTTTATTTCTATTCTGTTCAGGGCAAAGTGTTTGAATTTGCTGCAGTAGCTTTGTTGTGTGTGTTAATTGTGTGGTCAGGAACTATAACATGCTAGGAAATGTGTTAAGCAGCCCCAGCAAACCCATGCTAAAATTAAACTACAGGATGATCAACTAGTTCAGAAGTACATTCAGAAAGGTAAACTTAGCATGAACCCTAGCTCTAACAAATCTAGCTTTAATGCAGACTCTTTCAATTCTAGTAAGATCTTGACGGTTTACTAAAAAAAAAAAAAAAATTCACCTGTCTACCCACACTTGAGCCGGTTCACTAGGTTTCTCCAATAAGTTGTAAAATGATCACCCGTAAAATTAAACCACAATCTAGTTTTTTTTTCTCTTCTGGAAAACAAATCAATAACTGACATTTTAATAAAGGAAAAATGCTTTTCAGTGAATATTTACGGTTATATTTAGCATTAAAAATATAACTTTGGTTGAAGAGCTTCTACATACTGGTGTTTTAACTATTACGGAAAAAGAAAAATCTTTAACTTGGGAGGTGGTCTAATAAATTGAGCATCTAGCATACTTTTTCCACCCTGCGCTCTGAATATTTACCTGTACATGAATGCCCCCTCCTCCTTACGCAAACAAAACATCTGTCTGTGTGGTATTAGTTTAAGAAGACTAGGTGGCTGTTTTGACTTAGATGACGATCAGATCATATTTTATAATCAATTTATGCAGACATCCAGGTAATTCCAAAACCCTCATCCACTTCTTCTTGCCACTGTTTTGCGGTTTTACTACAGTGTACCTAAAATAATGAAGACACCATCAAAAATTGCAATTTTATAAACCCAAAACCACAGCATGCTTTTTTGCAAACATTACTGTTCCATAATTCTGAAACCACAAAATTGATTCACATGTACAGTGTCTAAAAAAAAAAGAGCCCTTTTGTGTGTGTCTGTGTGTGTGTGTGTGTGTGTGTGTGTGTGTGTGTGATATACACACAGAGTATAGAATCTATTTACAGATTAATAGAAAAAGGGGGTTGGAGCAGTTCTTAAGTATCACAGTCTAATTCTCTAAATTACTAGTCCATTTCTCAAGAGGGTTTTTTTTTCATCTGTAAAAAGAGGGTTTTTTTTTCATCTGTAAATATAAAATAGAAACAGTACTCCTATGTAACCTCAATTTATCACTGCATTCGGTTCAGTACGGTTTTCATGTAGAATGTGACAGTGGGAACAATGAGAAGACGAGGGGAGCGCTGAGTTTTAGAAAGCCAGTTTCTTCATGAGGAGGTACACCCTGGAGTCCACCTCGAATCCATGAAGGTTGTTGGCGTCCCCCTGCAGCCTCATGAGGAGGCCACCGTAAGAGACATAGGCAGAGCTGAAAGTGGAGAGGGCGGGAAATTATTGTACATTCAAGAAAGGAACTTTGCTCTTTTCCTCACACGTTCCATTGAAGAAAACATTCATAATTACACAACAGATGTTAAAATAATGTGATAGAGCAGGGATGTCCACTCCATTTTTGTAGTTTTGGTTTTCCCTCAATGGGCCGTTATGAATGTGACAGCATATAAATGTCCAACAGACTCATCCTATTATTACGAGTACACAACAAATTGATGGATAACTAGTGTTGAAATCAAGAGTGAATGAAAGTCATTTAAGCAATTGTTCAATTCATTATAAAAAGGGGTTTGGTATCAAACAAATGCATGCAATATACATCCACACGATAGTAAAAGTAAAGTGAATTGGCAATTTTCATGCAGCTTTTAGGAATAAAGAAAAAGTAGACACACATAATTTGCTTAAGCAGGCCACATAACATGATGTGGTCGGCCAGACCAGGTGCCTGGGACTCAGTTTGACACTGGTACTATGGAGTGTTAAAATATGATTGTTTATAATGCTTCACCATATTTAAAGAATACAGACTAATTACAATTCAAATACTAAAACTTATTATGGAATAGGCAGATGAAGTGAGAAAAGAAAAAACAAAAAATCACTCACAGGCGTGTTGCAGCTTCTGTTGAAGTCTCATCACCCTCAATCTTATAAACCTTCCCGTACATCACATAATCAAATTGGTCTGATCTGAAAAATTACAACTATGAAATTCAACCTCAAGATTATGTACATGAATCCAAATAAATACCATTTAAATACAAATGTGTCAATGAGCATTAGTACTTGAAACTTACCGAGATGGTCTGTCATCTTGAGGATTGTACTCCCCATCATCTGGCGTTCCGTCTTCATATAATGTGCTGGCGATTACCAATCTGAATTTGTCACCTTAATGAGATGAACACTGATTTTTACTGTGCACTTTTCTGTATTTGTCGTGTCGCTTCACAGACTGACGACACACATGCTTTCAATTGCCTTACTACAAGCATTAGGTCTGATATAATTCATGAATTTGTTAGGCAACTAAAACCAATTAAATGGTGCAACTGCTTTAGTACAAAGATGTAAGACCTTACCAAGATCTACTGGATAGATTTGAATGTTCACATCCAAGATGAGGTCCATCTTAAAAGATTCACTTTCACAATGTAGACGAGACACTGTGGAAAATAGTCAATAATACAAGTCATTTAGATTCACTTTTTTTCCCCAGTGTGGGACAAATAAAGGATATCTTATCTTAAGCAAAATAAAGAATGACTAAAATGATTTGAAAAGGGGCCATTAGTTGGATTCCACTTGCGTCCACAAGGAGGGTTTGTTGAGTTATTTGATACAGTAGATAAGTACATTACAACTGTGAGGAAATTACTTATTTGTGCAAATACAATACTTGAGGGAGCAAAATCACGGTTCCAATGTGGTTTCGGGGGCATAATGTAATGTTGAACAGAAGGCATTACACACCTCTGTCAAACTTCTTGCCATCTGGATCGATGTCCTTTACGTCGAATATATCCTCAAACAGGATTCCAGCCATTTCTTAATCTGTTTCTGCCCACACAAATACAAAAATATGACAGAAACAGTTTACAACAATTATACTATAAAGTTGGGGCGCAATTGCATACACAACGCCGATGTCCCGACTTCATGACATAATACCGTGCCGGCATTTTCACAAAAGAAAATTACATAAAATAAGAAGATAAGAAAAACCATTGATAAGACATCATTGAGTAGAAAGTGTGTGAACTCGCTAGTTAGTCGAAGCTAGTCAAAAATATTTTAAATCTGGCACTACTAGACATCCCGTGCGGGGGAGAAAGTCGTTCTCAAAGCGAACTTAAACTTCGATTTTCCCAAAAATGTGACATGCTATCTGATAGCGTTAGCGGGCTGTACGCCCATTTCCCGAACCTTACCTCTTGTACGTTAATGTACTAAGTTATGTATGTTGTGCACAGCCAGCATTTAACCGCACTCGGTTGCGGGTTCTTGCAAATAGTGTAATTACAGTCTGCACTTAAATTCTTGTTTAGTTAACTCGTCATTCATTCAAAACACCGTGTGGCGGTCAAACCAAACAACGTGCTCAACCTTTGACACATCATCTACTTCCGGCGAACCTTATACTGTAAACTGTTATTTTTTAAATGAATGTTGTAACATATCCAAGATAATGAAATCTTCACCTCCATACATTTTATTTTAAAAAAGAAATCTAGGTATATCGTGCTTATGGCATTGACAGTAAAATAAAATACATCAATACAAAGAGTTCGACGACGTTCAACATCGTTTTACGACATTTACTTCCACTTTCCTGCCACAACACTGTGGTTGCTATGTGGTGAGCGTCTCTTCTGTGTACGGTTGCTAGCTAATGGATCTCGCGCTAATATCGATGTACTGTAGAAAATGATGTAGTCTTTGATTAAAATTGATATTGGATTGTGACATTTGGAGCGAGAATACCGGCACCTGTTATAATGTTAACTTAGGTGAGAATAGGAGAAGGCAATAATAAGTGTAGATCCGCTGTGCTGGAAAACAGTTCGTGCTGCGGCTAGCAGATCATCGAATAGCTACTACTTGTTCGCTTCATTTTCATCGGCCGAATGAAAAAAGTAGATGCTAACACACACCTACTTGAAATGAATTAAAACCCAAATACAATGGGGTGTGATCTTTGTTTGCGTAGTGCAGCCTTCAACTCTTTAATTCAATCACTGCTTTTATTTTTCAAATTATGATTTTCCGGTAGCGGTATTGTAGAACTTGTGGTGCGTTTTACAGGACGTACTGAACACGTTGGAATCAACCAATGCTTAAGTAGAAAAATAGAAGCATTTCTTTTCCAAGAACTGCAAAAAGCTGCTTTTCATGTAAGGGTTAAAAAGTTCTGGATACTCACATGAGTTTCAGGGAGGAAGACAAAATGGGGGACATTTTAGCCACTGAAGCCAATCTTCTTGGGATGATCAAGGAGGTATGAATAAATCTGTCAATCCGATTAAATAAATCAACGTGTCCCTTGTATCAAAATATAGCATTCATTGACCTGTATTGCTTGTTTTTTTTTCGACCGCAGTACCTTAAGGTTGAACAGTTTGATACCACAGTTAACAGTTTTGACAAGGAGTGCAAGAATAAAGGAAAACTTGTGTCCAAGCCTCAAGGAAATGCTCTGAGAGACGTTAAGACTCACATCGTCCAGGTAAAATGTAAAATTCAGCCATTTAAATTGGTTTGAAGAGTTTGTAAAATGACAAGTTAAACAGTTTTGTTTTAAGATGGGTCAAGTGCTACTGTGTATCGCCATTTATATTGTTTATTTCAGACGTCTTAATGATTTCCCTTCCAACCCCATCTCTGTGTGCAGAAAGACCTCCTTAGTTCTTTCAATGAAGGGGACTTCAAGGTATTTTTTGAGTTGTGGACAGAGAATATTCCTTCTCATCTCGTTAAAACTGATACTGAGGCCCAAAAGCTGGAGTTCTACCTTTATATCCATTTTACCATCTACCCACTGAGAAGCCAACCTGAAAGACAAGTATGTATTTCGCTGATTTATATTGTGTTGGGGCAGCATGGTTTGCATGTCCTCCCCGTGCCTGCAATGGGTTTCTCTGGGTACTCCAGTTTCCTCCCAAAGTCCAAAAATATGCATGGCAGGCTGATTGAACTCTGAAAAGTCCTTAGGTGTGATTGTGAGTGCGAATGGGTGTTTGTCTATCTGTGCCCCAAAATTGGTTGCTAACCAGTTCAGGTTGTATCCCGCGTATTGCCCAAAGACAGCTGGGATAGGCTCCAGCACACCTGCGACCCTCGTGAGAATAAGGAGATGTGAAAATGGAAGGAGGGATTGTTTATATTGTAGGATCCTGACAGCACATAAGTGTCAATTGCTCAACATGTCCACCAAGCTGTGCTATTCAGAAGCATGTTGCACATTGCCCCCACTGCTAAATCTACCAAAAGATAAGATAAGATAAGAAGACCTTTATTTGTCTCGCAATGGAGAAATTCCCAATTCACAGCAGCAAAGTTATGAAAGGAAGAAGTAGAACAACAAAATATAGGAGCTGCTGGAAAGGCAGCCACTCTCGCGGCGCCATTTTGAAGTCAAAATAACAAGATGCTGACATAACCAAGACTGGTGGTGAAGTGCAGCCTCCATGAGTGAAAATACAATTGATGCTTTTGACTGTATACTGCATTGACTTATTTGCATGAGACAGGACTGCCACCTCAAAACAAGTTTGGTAATACTTGCAGACCAAGAAACATTTATAATACTATTAGTATTATATATAATATGGGTTTATGAGTGCTTTGCAAGTGGCTTTTCAAATCAAATTTATTTTAAGATTTTTATGAATTAACAGAATCTGACACCTTCTTTAGGACCAGGTGGAGTTTGCAGAGAGAATTTCTTATTTCAAAAAATACCTGGAGACATGTGGAAGGGCACTGAGTCAGACCACAGAGTTTCTGCCTTATTATGCTCTGCCTTATGTGTCCAACCCCACCACCCATCCCTTCTTCAAGGATCTCTTTCAGGTTCTTAATTAAATTATTGTAACATTGGTGTTTATAATATAATAATGACCTGTCAGAGGTGCATTTTTAATGAACAACTGTCTTTTATAGGAAACCTGGATACCAAAGTTGAAGAACAAACTTAAAGAGTTTGTGTCTGTGACAATGAAACCACCAAACTGCCCAAGGCTGCTGGCGTTATATGTATCTTTTTCTGCCATTTAAAATTGGAAATCATTGATTCAATCTGATATGTATTTTTATTACTTCCCTGCCAAAAGGAAATTTGGTGCCCCAGGTGCCAATTTTAGAGTAATTTTATTTATTGAGGAATTCAAGGTCAAGGTTTGTGAACATGAATTATTGCTTAACAAACCAAACCGTCCAATTTTAGGGTAATTGTATTTATTGAGGAATTCAAGGTCAAGGTTTGTGAACATGAATTATTGCTTAACAAATTGAACCGTCCTAGCGTGGCCATTCCATGTTAAACCAACACTCCCTGGATAATTTGTGTGTCTAAGTATTACAGCTACAGAAAACTTAGTAGAGCACCAGGATCAACTGAAGGATAGCAATCGTTTCTCATAAGTTAATGTAATGTACTGGTATATAATAGTTACACTAACATCTCAAGTGATGCTCAAAGGAAAAACAAAATTCCCTCCATACAGTATAACCCAAAAAAATTTACCTCATCTGACGCATCTATTTCCTTGTGTAAACACTCACAAAGCTGATGTGTCAAATGCTTCTGTAAACACATTAAATAGAAGTTAACTGGAAGATGTCCACTTTAATGTGCATGTCACTTCATGCATGACAGCTGTGTTTGCGCATAGAAGGGTGTTGGTCAATAAAAATTTCTCAAAAGAAATGCAACCCTCCCTACATTAACTCAAACAATCCCATCCCACTGGTATCAATTACATATTGACACCAGTTTGCCTTCGCACTATAAAATGGATTGTCTTAATCCTGTACAAATTGTCTTGGTGAGGCCAGTGCTAGCTTCAAACAGGATGTAGGACGTTCTGTGACTCACAACTCATATATTCTTTACGCACCTTTATGTCACACCGAGGGAAATGGACACACATTAGATATGTTGAATGAATGGCCAGATGAGTGTTGAGGTGTGTTCTTTAACAGACGGTATACAGAAGGAAGGCGGAAAGAGTTCAAAAGGTAAATGCCTTTCTGATCTTACTTTGGATGTCTTTGGTGATGAATATGAGACCAACTTGCAAAACTTAATAAAAATGCACTAACCCTAAATGTCCCTTGTTCCATAACCAAGTCAAAGTGTCTAATGTGCATGTTTAAGATCGTGTAATAGATGGATGGAAAATAAGCTATTTTACTTATGCAGCTGTGCTCCCTAAGTTTACATAAAGTGTATGCAGTGAAACACCCCCCCCCCCACCACTTTGCACAGAAGCCTTGCAGCAGCTCCATGTACAGCTGGTTGAGTCAGAGCGCCGCTCCGCCAGCTACATGCGCAAGTTCAACAAGATGCAAGCAGACTACTACCAGCTTATTGGCATCACAGCTGAGCTCGTTGACTCGTTGGAGGCCACAATCAGCGGAAAAAATGTAACGTTAATTGCAAATTCACACATGCCCACAACATAAAATGTAATACTGGCTAAAAGTTTTATATTAAAAGTGACAATGAAAGAAATATGTGTGCACATACAGTGAATAGAAATACCTACGGTGTTTACAAAATGGCATTACGGCCATCTATATACATTGGTGCCTTGAATTACGAGTCAAAATAGTTGGAAAAATGCTACACCTTAAAGCAAATACTTTCAGCACACTTTGACAATGAATATGCCACTGCCACCTACTGAAGTGGATGTGCAATTACGCTTTGTTTTAGTGCAAAAAAAAAAAAATGTCCAATGGGGTCACACATGTCCCCTCTGGCATCGCCCCATACGCGCTCACCCCAAGAGGGGCCTGCCTCGCTATTTGAGAAGGCACTGTGATGTCATTTTCAGTCGACAGGAAGTGGCAGCACAAGGCAAAATGGCAGCACACAGAGATAGATAAAAGCTCAAGTCATTCCTCACAAGTTAAGGTAAAAAAAAAAAAAAAACATTGAGGATTGAAAGCTCTTTTGTGACAAACTCATATGCGGGGGCACTTGTAAGTTGAAGTACTATTGTACTCTCAAAACTCAAGGGGGCCTGTTATGTTATTGCAGATATCGCCCGAGTACCTGCAGAGTGTGTGTGCTCGCCTGTTTAGCAGCCAGATGAGGCAGAGCACGGTGCTGACGACTGACCTAACCCGGCCTGGCACTGTGAGTGGAAGAACCTTTTTACATCTTATACTTTCCACTTTCCCACTAGATCCATGACCAACCATGATATGTTGCAGGTTCTGATGAGAGTCATATAAAAATGGATTTGGAAACAAATTAACAAATGAGTCAAATGAATGTATTAAAAATGATTTGCAGGCAATTGTATGCAGTTTTCTTTTTAGGGGTAGTAATCCTGCCGTGATTTTGACTGTGATCAATTCAGATATGAGTACACTGTTTGAGATGTTAAACTGTTAAATGCAGACTTTGTTTGAACTGAACACCTTTTCTCTGTTTCTGTTTCTGCGTGTATGACACTGTTGTCCCCAAAGGGATATTACTCTATGAGTCCATATGATGATGGCTATGTAAGTTTCTCGTGCTTTCGTCTTTATTTCACATCACCTCTTGCTGAGTTAATCCACCCTTACTGTCTCACTCTCCCCTTGCTGTCTCATTGTGTCCTCTTCCACTCGTCCACATCTCGTACCCTGCCTTCACAGCAAATAACTCTCTCAAAATGATTTGTGTCCATCCCTCCCTGCTCTCATTTGTCTCCAGATCCTGCTAGATTGTCCCTTTGAAAGGGCCTCACTGAACATTTAAGATCCCATTAGTCAGGCTTTCCTTTAAGAATCACCTCATTTTGAAAGTCACCCGCTCCATGATGGATTGCTGCTTCCACCAACTCTCCTCACAATTTGTACCTGTTTCATATTCCTCCGTTTACCTTTTTTTTCACAGTATTCATTTAGTTCATAAACAAAAGGATTTTTGATGCAAAACATTTCTATCTCACTCTAAGGAGGCACCAGGAGCACTTTTCGAAAACAGTCTTGGTTCTTAACTTTATCATTTATTTGGTGACATTTTATTGAAAAGGAGAAAACACATGACTGTCACCTTGAAGCTTAACATTTCACTATGTAAAATAACAGCTTTACTTTGTTAACTTTCTGGTATGATGTAATGTACAGTATGGATAACCTTGCTGCTTAAGTGGCTCAAATTCAAGGGACCTATTTTAATAGACAGGCGTACGTGCGCTTGGCGTAAAAACGTCTTCATTTTCGTATGGGGGAAAGTCTAGTTTACTGATACTGAGGCCACCAAACAAATCCCCCTCAACCCCTTGACTGCACTTAGAAATTCTGTCCATAAAGATTATGCATCCTCATGGACCCTTCCGAATGAGTCTGGAACACATTTCTCGACACAGAGACAAGCAACAGTGTACGTTGGCGATGCACAAATGTTAACACCATGATTGATAATAATGGTCAGTTTGTTTTATCTCTTTGCTTGCGTTTTACATGTGAGGGGAAACTCGGAGCATTGCTGTCAGTGAAGTCAATAACATGAATAATAAATGGATTTACAAGATAGTAAATGTTACATGACAGAATAGCTACTGCTTATGTAAACCTCGTATTCCCTGGGTTGAGTCTCTTTGTGCATATGGAAAAATGTAACGAGACCAAGCTCAGTTTTCAAATGAAATGAGAGATGGTTCGATTAAAGCCACAACAACACAACACAGCATCCCATATGTCATTTTGCTTCTCATTCACATTTTTGATTCACATGTACACTTCCTACAATATGCCATGAAATAGGCCTAAAACCTCCATATTCAATTTTCCTACACAAAAAAAGGTCATGAATAAACTTCCTCCGCCATTTCATGCTTTTGGGGAACCATCCAACTGGAGCCCAAATGTCAAACTCTGTTCCTTGAGGGCTGCTATCTTGCATGTCTTAGATGTTTCCCTCCTCCCAACACGCCTGATTCAAATGATCAGGATAGTTATCATGGTGAGGATCAGAGCCTGGAGGAACGGAATTTGACACCTATGAATTTGAGTTTTGAAGTTTACTCTATTGTGCATTTAAACCATTTCAGCAATTCTAAGACAACAGCCTGATAACTGTCTGCAATAACCGCTACACGCTACCGTTCTCATTGTTCTACCAACATTGTTTCACTCAAGGCTCAGTAAAATTATGATATCATTGATTTAATCTAAAGCATTTTTGTTAATGTCCTAAATAAAACAGTGACTTTTCTCGGGATTAATTTCAGACCATACTTGGGTGACAATTACACTGGTCAACAAATGTTTACTTTTCTTTTAAATCAGAGATGCAAGTCATCTATTCTTGATGTGTGTGCGTCTACCCTTGTGGGTACATGAATGCACTTCAGGGGGGTACGTGAGATTTTAAAATATATTCAAAAAGTAGTATCCATGCGAAAAAAAGTGTTTGATCACAGCATTTGCCTCCTTTCTATCGATCTATCTGTCTGTCTGTCTGTCGGTCTGTACTTTGCTGAAAACATATTTCACAGGGTGTTCATCAAAGGTTGAAAACTACTGCTCTCGCACATCAGTTTTTCACCATCATAATAATAAATAAAATGATATATAGTACTATTTATGAATTGAGGTTATAGTTTCAGCAACAGGTGGATTTATTTATTTTTTTGGATGAAACCTCATAGCTACTGTATATATTACAAAACACTGGGAAAATCCGTACTGCACAAGCTTTTACAAGTCAAATTTTAAAAGAAAAAAAAATACCTGATGTAGTAGGGAAAAAAAGCAAATTTTTTTTTTTTTTAATCCACGTCAAAATACGTGAGAGGACATGGACACATAAAGCCATCTCTGATTACAATTTGCTGTTGTTAGGTATTATTTTCCATAACAAAATATTAACGGCAGTCTGATGGCTCTTCTCCATTAACTCAAACAATCCTATCCCACTTTTCCGCATTGGGTATGTTTCCAAACAGAAATAAAAGTTTGGGAATTGAGCATGTGCCACACGCATGATGTAAGCATGTCCATGTACTACTAATGATTGAAGCATTTGGTGATTAGTAGGACAGCATATACTAAAATGTGATAACTTTTGCTTGTCTAATAATTGCATAAACTTGTAATAAGTACAATATACTTTTTTTTTGTTCCTTCAGGCTTCCTCAATACTTCGAGCATCCATTGCACCATAGTAAGTATTTAGTTCTTGTACAATTATGGTTCATTTTGCCATCCTTTTAATGCCATTTATTTTGGATGGCTTTTCTGACAATCTACAGCAGATCTAGGGAAGTGCCAATGCTGCCTTCTCTGGATTATGTGAAGCTAAAAAAGGACCTGCTTGAAGGATCAGACCGTCTGAGGTCCCTATTGCTTCAGGCTCTCCGCTGGGTTTGTACATTTTCCTCTCGACCTAATTTTACTACTTTTATTTGTGCACTGCTGTTTCAAGATGGCTGACTCAGCCAGTCAAATTGACTTTCCAAAACTGTCATTTTTAGAGACTTACTCGCTCACTTCCCGGTGAACAGAGGGACACTGCACTTCAGGCTTACATAAGCAACGATCTACTGGAACAGTACAGCACAAAGCAGGTGGCACCCTATCGTTAATTCCCTTTGTATTTTGCTCATTTATTATGAAATGTTGAAGAAATTTTGTTGTCTCATGTCAAATGCTAAGGCTGATTAATTTTGTTGCCATTAACCCAACAAAAGAGATAATGCTGCGAGCGGCATTCTCTGGCATATCACTAATACAAGCCATTGCTTCAAAGTTTGTGGAATGCCCCTTTCTTTTACTTCCTAAGTATGCATTAATTTACTCTCGAAAAAAATTTGAGCCTGCAATTAGCTGTCAACAGTATCCAGGGTGTACCCAGCCTCTCACCCATCACCAGCTAGGACAGGGTCACCCATGGCAAACATATCCGAAGTGAAGGACCAGACAAAGCACAGCTAACAGAGCCCTTATGATGAAAGATAAAATTGGACAGCATTTTCCCTTGCCCAGATGCGGGTCAATGGAGCCCGCCTCTGGATTCAGGCCTTAAGGTGGGGGCGACAGCTTGGTAGCTGGACCTTCATCCATGAGCTTTTCCCACGTCCCGCGGGAAGGCGGGGGACATTGACTCAGAGTGGACCATGTTCCACACATCGATTGGTGAGGCGCTGATCTGAGTTGTGGCCGTAAGGTAGTCAGCGCCTGTCGTGGCGGCAACCCCCAAACTCGCCGGTAGACACCGGCAGTAAGGGATACCCTCAAGCTGAAGGAGGAATCCTCTCAGGCCTTTATGGCCTGTGGGGCTCCGTAGGATGCTGATGGATACCGGTTGGCCGAGCGGAACACAGCTTCAGTGGTCGCTGAGGCAAAAACTCATGCGTGGGAGGAGTTTGGTGAGGCCATGGAAGCCGACTTCCCGGACGGATTCATGTAAATTCTGGTCCACCATCCGCCGTCTCAGGAGGGGGAAGCGGTCCACTATTAACACTGTGTATTGTATGGATGGGGCAATGCTGACCTCAAATCAGGACATTGTGAGTCGGTGGACAGAATTCTTCGAAAACCGCCTCAACCTGCCTTCCTGAGAGGAAGCAGAGTCTGGGGATTCTAAAGTGGGCTCTCATGTCTCTGGGATTGAAGCCACCGAGGTGGTTAAAAAGCTCCTAGGTGGCAAAGCTGGATGAGATCCGCACAGAGTTTCTCAAGGCTCTGGGTGTTGTGGGGCTGTCGTGGTTGACACACTAGAGAGACTATGTCTCCCGGCTGGCCTGGGAATGCTTAGGGATCCCCCGGGAAGAGCTGGAAGAAGTGACTTGGGAGAGGGAAGTCTGGGCATACCTGCTAATGCTGTTGCCCCTCGCGACCCGACCCCAGATAAGCCGTAGAAAATGAAAGGATGTATGGATGGCTGAATATGGACTTCATCTCAAAGCATTTTACGGTAAAAAAAACAACAAAAAAAAAACCACTTCATATCCTGTCTCTGTAGGAAACGATGCTTCATTTACTATCTTCAAAGAACGAAATGGTGCGGCAGTACATGGCTCGTCTCATCAATACATTTTCCTCCTTTGCAGACGGTAAGTGTCAAGGAAGTCCCATTACAGTTTGGTTATGGGTGTGTGAAAGGAATCAAAATTATGTTGAACAAAAATAGGTTGTGAGGAAATGTCCTGGCCATTTATGGGACCTTTGACATACAACACAGAATTTCTCAAACGGTTACCAATAAGATTATTGTGCAAGACTTATGTCTTTTAAAAAAAAATGTGTTTCAAAGGCAAGCCTTTTAATATTGGTTTATATTTTTACTTGTGGTTTAATGTAGAGTGCTGTGCAAAAGTTTGAGCAATGATATAGTGGTGAAACATCATTGTTTCCCAATCATAGAATACAACTAAACACAGCAAATAAAAAACAGCTTTAAAATAAAAAAGATGAAGTACCCTTATTCTTCAGCAATAGAAGGAACTTTTTGCTCTTGAACATAAACAAAATGGGACCCCATTAAAAAAAAAAAAAAAAAGTCAAATTCAAGAGTTTTGATATTTACCCCACAGAGACAAACAGGTAAATGTGACAAGTGTTATTTTTATACTTACAGGGCGAGTTTACCTCTCCCAAATCCCATTGCTTCTAAAACTCCTGATGGAAACACTCCGGGAGGAGAAGAAGGACTCCTTGACCAGAGAGAATGTGCTGGTGGCTCTGCAGAAACTCAGTCTCATGTAATTGAGAGTTTGTAAACTGCACCACGGAGATAACAATGTCTCAATCAGCCATTTTACAGCCATCAACACAAAAATTAGTAATAATATTATACCATTTGGGTCACTGCATCTGTTTGTCAGGAGGAGCCAGCAGACAGCCATGATCGAAGATGATCTGATTGGCTGGCTGGTGGATGAACTGCATGACTCCGACTGTTTGAGCGACTACACTCTGGAATATTGTGCATCTCTTCTCATGAATTTGTGCCTGCGAACAAAAGGTACAGGTACATGCAAAAATATACAGTACATGAGCCAAGACATTGCAGTTCTATGTATGTTTTTAAAAATACTATGCTAGAGCAGTCATTGATACCGTAAAGTGTACATGTTACATGGTTGTCTTTATGCAGGAAAAAGGAAGTGTGCAGAAAATGCCAAACACGTGCTCAAAGTTCTAACTAACCTCCTCGGACATGACAACCACGAGGTGATGCATATGTTTCCTTGAAAAGTGTGTGTGAGGCTTTGTGTGTGCGCGCACGTGCGTGACAATAAGATGTTTCCAAAGGCAAACTTCCCCCTTTTAAATTGTTTCATTATTCTTTGCGTGCAACTGTCAACCCGATCATTCTGCACACGGAGATGCATCTGCATTGTCTTGTCTTTTTTCTCCAGATTCTTCCATATGTGAATGGAGCCCTGTACAGCATCCTGTGTGTCCCCTCTGTGAGACAGGAAGCAAAAGAAATGGTGCGATCGTGAGATGTTTTCACCTGCTTTCAGGATACTGACTTAGCCTTTCTCTTTCCTTTTAATGTCTCAGCACACCTGAGTAGATATTCGTTGTCTTTGAAGATGTTTGCAATTGCACGTGTTGTGTTTTGCTTACCCGTTACTCGGGTCTGATTCATAACCTAATTGAAGGTGTATTTTACTTCAATGTGTGAAGAGTGTGGAGGAGATCCTCCGCTGCTTCTGCAAGGAGGATAATCCAGATCTTCACAGACAAATTGGCTTCATCATGAAACAGCTCAACTCAGGTCAGTGAATATACGTTGAAGGTTTGTTTACTCATTTACTACAGCATAAGTCTATAAGTCAATAAGTCTTTATTGGTCAATTTGGCTTTATTGTCAATATTTTATTAGATGAAGAATCAACAAGTTATTTACCACACAGGGCTAAAAAAATAAATAAAGGCAACGTACAATCGTTACAGCAGGATGCTGACTTAGCCTTTCCCTTTCCTTTTAATGTCTCAGCACACCTGAGTAGATGTTCGTTGTCTTTGAAGATATTTGCAATTGCACGTGTTGTGTTTTGCTTACCCGTTACTCGGGTCTGATTCATAACCTAATTGAAGGTGTCTTTTACGTCAATGTGTGAAGAGTGTGGAAGAGATCCTTCGCTGCTTCTGCAAGGAGGATAATCCAGATCTTCACAGACAAATTGGCTTCATCATGAAACAGCTCAACTCAGGTCAGTGAATATACGTTGAAGGTTTGTTTACTCATTTACTACAGCATAAGTCTATAAGTCAATAAGTCTTTATTGGTCAATTTGGCTTTATTGTCAATATTTTATTAGATGAAGAATCAACAAGTTATTTACCACACAGTGCTAAAAAAATAAATAAAGGCAACGTACAATCGTTACAATGTAACTACAGGTCAGTCACATGTCTGGGATATCAGCCTGTCCGGTTTGGAAGCAACACTGATTATGAATAAATTTCACTTACTGTTGTGAAAAGAAAGAGAAGAGGAAATGAGAGGCAATACAACCCCTCTTAAGGAATGGTTCTGCAGGTGGAGACCACATACTGTACCTCGCCTAGCCCATCTTCATCCTTTCTGGTTTACTTTTTGGTCATTTTTGAATTTTGCCCATGTTCATATCAGTAGAGGTAGTGTGACAATATGTGCAAACCAAAGATTATGAATGGCAATACTTCTGACTGGACTGGAGTGGAGTATGTCAGCATTTCCTGCATGAAAAAAAAACACTGGTGCTCTGACCTGGCCTGCCCGTTTCCCAGACCTGAACCCAGTCCAGCATGGACCCCATGTTTCGTTCCATCCAATGGAGACATGTGGCACCACAAGAGTTGACTTTCCTGAGCCAGGTCTAAGAGGAGATCCCTCCGGAGAAAATCCTCTGCATTGTGGAGAGACGTTGCAGGGACTGCATGCAGGCACATGGCGGCCCCCGTGCACCACTGAGCCTCATTTTGCATTCTCTTGAGAAACTTCCACAGAAGTGATTTCTCCCATTTTATTTTGAAAATGATTCTGAATCCATACCTCCATGGAGTAATAATTTTGATTTTCATTGATCATTGGGTTATTCTCAACATAGTCCACTATGTAATGAAAACAACAATCTACTGTACTTGAATGTTCCTTTCAACAAGATCTAGGTTTTGTAATTTAGTTGTTCAATTCCCAGTGGAAGTTAGAAATATGAGTTGATTTGGGACTGTTCTTCATTAAATACATAAATGCTGTGTTCCATCTAGTGGAGGAAGAAGGGCCAGAGTCGGACGATGAAGAGGACGAGGATGACAATGATGTAAGTCTGATGTTAATGCTTTACACTTTACTGCTACACGTCTATTTAGACATCGTGTCACACAACGGTGAGCAAAGGTGAATTACCACATTAGAGAAAATTAGGAGGCGAGACAAAAAGTCTAGTCTGCCCTTTTTGTAACATGGACAGACAATTGTAATCTTGACAAGGCACAGACATTTGAATGTCATCCTGTTTGTGCGGAAGTGTGTGTTTCCAGATTGCAGTGGTAACCATGGCAATGATAAGCGTGTGTTTCATGCTTTGTACCCACAACGCACATGTCAATTGTCCCCACTTGGGGAAATATTAATGACAAATGTTGTGCAAACTTGTTCTAAAGGAAACAGATTTTATTACAACTGCTCATTAAAAAAGTGTTCAGTGAGGCCTAAGTGTCAAGAGTCAATTTCTGGATTCACATTGTTACCAAATGCAGACTAAAAACAGCAGGTATTATACTTCACTCTGTGTGATTTATGTTGTGACAGGAAGATTTAATAGAGTCGGACCGAGATAAAGAGGAAGTTCTTCAGCCAAAGCCCAGCGAGCTGTCTGGGGAAAGTCTGCTTACTACAGAGTACCTGGGTGTAAGCAAAAAATACACACAAACGCGCGCATGCACACAATGGCATTCTCGACAGCGATTCCGTAACAACACACAAGTCCATGAGTCGTACTTGCACACTTAAATTTGCATGCTAACAGCTGGGGTTTGGTTGTCCCGTCGCATAAGCAGATCAAATCCTGATCCTTCTGACTGAGCTACAGACACTGACAAATTTCAACATCAGCAACCCAGTATTGTCCTGTTTTTTCCAAAAAGTGTGTTTTTTTTTTTATTGGGATCTTGAGAGGTGCACCAAACAAAAGGAGGCAATTTCATTTTTGAAATTGCCAAATCTATATTTTGAAACAAAAGCTTCCTGTGTAATGATTGTGCAGATTATTACCAACCTCCCCAAAGTGAAGATGACGGCGCAGCATCAACCAAGCATTGATGAACCTCTACAGCGACCGGTGACCCCGAGCTCCCATCGTAACACTCATCTCGCGTAAGTGAAATGATCAAATGTGTATGTTGTGTGAGTTGCTCTACTTTTTAATTCTCATGACATGAGCACAAAAAGAACCTCAAGTAGTGCATCGTCGAAACATATGATCGGTCAATGAAGTAAAGCAACAATAATAAAGACCAAAGAGGTCACTGCGACAATGATCGCATTGTCTATTTTACTCTAACTTTCCAATCTTGATATCGAGAGCAGTGGGTCAGAGAAGGAATGGGGTCACAATATAGTTTAAAATAAAAGACTGCCTGGGTTCTTTCAGGTTGTGTTTTGAAATAAATGATAAAACGCAATTGAAAGAAACTGCGAAGAAATGATTTTTTTAGGAGTAATTATAGGACAGCACTTGTAATGCGGTGACTTGTAGTAACTGATGCTGATGATGGGGCTTCTTCCAATACTCATCAGAACTCTGTGTTTGTGTTCCATGTCTAGAAATTACCAGCCAGGCAGCCAGGGTGGCGTAGGTGGCAGAGAAGAGGGAAACCCTCACCTTGGACACAGAAGTGAGAAGGGAAACTCCCCTCCATCCAAGAACGATTCTCAACCTCATACAAGCTTTGGCAATCGCCCACGAACGGCTGACTCTCTGCGCCACAGCCCAGGTGGGTAGAACCTTGCAAGTACTTCATCAACTACTATGACAGCCGTCTCAGGGCACACCAATGCATAATTCGATGAGCACCTTTAGAATGGACGAGAACTGGCCCAAACCATGCTTTTCTTTTGTGCTGCAGTCATTTGGGTTGCAGGGGTTCAGTCCGCAAAGAGTTTAGTCAAATCCGTATGCCTGCAGACCTGCAGGTAAGCTTTGACATCAGAGGATCACTATTTAGGTGTTGCTGTGGGCAAAATTGAATCGCAATGAGTTGCTGAAAAAGTGCAAGTCTGCTTTTTGACTACTACTGCCATGCTGTTCTTGAGAAAGTTTATATTGTATCATCTTTGCATTTCACGGTTTTCACAAACAAAATGCTCAAACATTCAGACTCACAGTACAGCCGACTAGCCAAGGCTTCTGATCTGGATCAATCCTACGAGGTACGAGCCAGGAAAGGAACCTTCCAAGAGAGACACAATGGACGTTTTGATAGGTAACTTGACGCAAAAATACATGATCACACAATGAACCATAAATGGAAATTGGTGTGGTGGTTTGATCTTTAAAGCAATTTTGTGTTCGAGACGTTTATATTGTCTTCTAATATAATTGTCTGGTCTATGAAGACAGCTATAAATAAGTCTTCCCTTCTGAGAGGAAGACTTGAAACTCACCACTAACTATTTGCAATTTCACTTGCTGAAAGAAACAAGTTCCAAGACAATGGATGCTCTGTTCTAGTTGCATACTTCAATTTGCAGAGTGAGTAAGTATATTGGTCGGGGATTTGGGGTCACGTTACAGTATTATTTCCTGCCACGAAATATGGACTGTACATTCTTTAGTCCAACCAATGCTTGCTTGCCCCACATTCATCATTATTTATTATTATTTTTTGTTTTAATCAAAGGGCATATTCCATAGTTCTGATGTGTTTTGTTTTTATAGTGGACATATTATGGAAAATGGACTTTTAATGTCTTGTATTAAGTGGTACTCCGAATGATCGTCCACGATCATAATCAGCTGAAGTGCATGATCACCCTATGTCAAGCAATGTCTTTCATTGCCCATCACACAAATCGATCACCCACTGCACATACATTGCAGCCTGCAGCCACTCGAGACCAGCCTGTGTGCAAATGTAGTGTTCAGTCTCCCCTTCCTTCACATTGTGCAGGCGCGCGGCAGCGGCCAAACCCAAACAAACATGTCTGCTATGTGGAACTTTCACACAATTTGAGAGAGAAGATACTTCATGGGGAGAGCATGTTAAAAAGCTTCAAAACACTGATTTCAAGATGACATGATGGGATTTTGAGGCACCTTTGGAGTTTCCTCGATGGCTCTTGCTCAACTAGGCAGCTTAGCTATCATCTCCGGCCGGGACATACTGGTGGTGGCCGGGGTTGCACATGACACAACTTATAAGAACTTTTCTTTCAAAACAAAAGACACATTATATTTAAAAAAACAGTACTTTTCAAATGCAAAAAGAATAACTTGTCAAGTCATGGCGTGAAGTCAAAGTGGAGTGTCATGAATGCCAAGTCTATGTCACGTCAGACTTAAGTTTTACCCAAACAAGTCGCAAGTTATAAAATCAGCAACTTGAGTTAACTCAAGTGCAAGCCATGTGAATCGAGTCCCCCACCTCTGTTATGTAGACATACAGTTGCGTCATCAATTGTAGACTGGACAGATGACTGAGCGTAGAGAAAACAGGAAATTATAAGGACATTGGATAGCTTTACCAGGTTCATATCCGATGAGAATTTGGACCTTCGCTTCATGTTTCTGCAAGTTATGTATGCAATTTTCACACATCCAGTTACCCATTAGGGGTGTGGCTTAATGGAGCCACCCAAGATACACATTACACTCGTCACCTTTCAGTCGCGAGGCGCTTTCACACCTCTGTGCAGTTTAGAGTCTTTGATTAAATTCAAAATCATGGTTTTGGAATTGGCCGGGACATACTGGTGGTGGTCGGGGTTGCACATGACACAACATATAATAACTTTTCTTTCAAAACAAAAGACACATTATATTTCAAAAACAGTACTTTTCAAATGCAAACAGAATAACTTGTCAAGTCATGGCGTGGAGTGTCATGAATGCCAAGTCTATGTCACGTCAGACTTAAGTTTTACCCAAACAAGTCGCAAGTTATAAAATCAGCAACTTGAGTTAACTCAAGTGCAAGCCATGTGAATCGAGTCCCCCACCTCTGTTATGTAGACATACAGTTGCGTCATCAATTGTACACTGGACAGTAGAGAAACTGAGCGTAAATTATAAGGACATTGGATAGCTTCACCAGGTTCATTTCCGATGAATATGCCCTTTGATTAAAAAAATAATAATCCAGTTACCCATTAGGGGTGTGGCTTAATGGAGCCACCCAAGATACACATTACACTTGTCGCCTTTCAGTCATGAGGCGCTTTCACACCTTTGTGCAGTTTAGTCTTTGATTAAATTCAAAATCATGGTTTTGGAATTTCGGAAGAAAACAAAATACCCAAAGAAAACTCAAGCAAGTACAGGCAAACTTCACACTGAAGGGCCTGAGCCTAGATTCGAACCAAGACCACTCAACTGGGAGGCAAATATGCTAACCACTACTCCACATTGCTGTCATGCATTTGTGTACGTAGAAATAAAATCTGTTTCAAAGATTTTTTTTTTTTTTTTTTAAATATCCTGAACACAACTATAATCACATTTCTAAACTCCTACAATTGCGCAAACCAATATGGTAGTAGCAAGTGTGGTATGATCCACCCCGCTGATGGCTACCTCAGAGTATCAGTAATCAAGTACGGTATGAAGAAGCAGAGGTTTTAAGAAAATAGATTGCTGTCACGTGTCAAGGTCAAGGGTCATGTAGAAGGTGAGCATTGTACCAACTGTGCAGCACATCGAGAAAGAGAAGGATTAAGCATCCCACCTGGCAAGTGAGAGGGGCATCAAGTAAAACTGATGTTACAAAGTGACTAAGTCACATGACATCATCAAGGGCTGACTCAGCAACTGTGGCGCTAACACAGCCGACCTTTCTTATTTTATGTATCGTGTTTGTATATCGTAATGGACAAACTAACTCACTTGCAAAGCCTGAACGTTTTTACTTAATTTTTCATTTCTCTCTCGTCATCAGCGGAGATTCAATCTCTGGGTTTGCAAGCAGGCCGAGGATAGGACGGACTCCTGAGCCGGGAGACCTTCAGAGAAACACTGCGTATAGTCTGGCGCCCACATTTTCCCAAGCTGAACCTCAACAATGCAGTCGGCCGTGCTCTTCAAGCTCCCCATGCGGAGCGAGACAGCAAAGTCGAGGTAGGCATAATATACTCAAAACGATGAGAAATGAACACCACACAAATACAGTATGTTCATTCACATGAGTGTTCGACCAGATCGGGTTAAGCGTGAGGCGAATTTGGAAATCTGTTTCAAAGATTTTTTTTTTTTTTTTAAATATCCTGAACACAACTATAATCACATTTCTAAACTCCTACAATTGCGCAAACCAATATGGTAGTAGCAAGTGTGGTATGATCCACCCCGCTGATGGCTACCTCAGAGTATCAGTAATCAAGTACGGTATGAAGAAGCAGAGGTTTTAAGAAAATAGATTGCTGTCACGTGTCAAGGTCAAGGGTCATGTAGAAGGTGAGCATTGTACCAACTGTGCAGCACATCGAGAAAGAGAAGGATTAAGCATCCCACCTGGCAAGTGAGAGGGGCATCAAGTAAAACTGATGTTACAAAGTGACTAAGTCACATGACATCATCAAGGGCTGACTCAGCAACTGTGGCGCTAACACGGCCGACATTTCTTATTTTATGTACCGTGTTTGTATATAGTAATGGACAAACTAACTGACTAGCAAAGCCTGAACGTTTTTACTTAATTTTTCATTTCTCTCTCGTCATCAGCGGAGATTCAATCTCTGGGTTTGCAAGCAGGCCGAGGATAGGACGGACTCCTGAGCCGGGAGACCTTCAGAGAAACACTGCGTATAGTCTGGCGCCCACATTTTCCCAAGCTGAACCTCAACAATGCAGTCGGCCGTGCTCTTCAAGCTCCCCATGCGGAGCGAGACAGCAAAGTCGAGGTAGGCATAATATACTCAAAACGATGAGAAATGAACACCACACAAATACAGTATGTTCATTCACATGAGTGTTCGACAAGGAGAAAATTTTTTTACTGTCACTCGTCCCCCAAATCTACTCTTACAAATGCTTGATGTAACAGTTTTATAAGGAATACAGTGCAGCTCCCATTTTCCACGAGGGATACGTTCTAGACCACAAGTGTCAAACTCCGGTCCTTGAGGGGGCCACTACTTTGCATGTTTTAAATGTTTCCCTCCTCCAATACCGTTGACAGGCAGCGATATCAACAGCATAAAACTGGGAGGGCTGGCAGTGATTGAGTTCAAGCCATGAAGGCTAACGACACTCACTTTGCGAGCTACTGATAGCTCAGAAGGATTAAGCATCCCACCTGGCAAGTGAGAGGGGCATCAAGTAAAACTGATGTTACAAAGTGACTCAATCACATTACATCATCAAGGGCTGACTCAGCAACTGTGGCGCTAACACGGCCGACATTTCTTATTTTATGTACCGTGTTTGTATATAGTAATGGACAAACTAACTGACTAGCAAAGCCTGAACGTTTTTACTTAATTTTTCATTTCTCTCTCGTCATCAGCGGAGATTCAATCTCTGGGATTGCAAGCAGGCCGACAAAACCAACTCAGTAACACCCACTGGAAAGTTAGAGAAAAGTAGCCCCGACATCGTTTTCACAGATCAACGGGAATTGTCGTGAATATGTTAATCAGGACATATAAAAAAATTTCAAGGACCATGTCCAACATGTATGTTATCCATTTAGGACAAATTCAGGACTTGTAGAAGCAAACCCCGAAGGGGGAATTCTGATTAAACCCCAATCAGAAGCAGGAAGTAGCAAAGCATTTCAGGCATGCCAACTAATGTTTGCGGAGCGTGCTATCAAAGTTGGAGATCATTTTTAGACTTAATGATAAAGATGTGGTGAGGGCTTTCTGATCGCTGCTCGCAGTGTTATTGCTGACAGTTGTGTATTACAAATCATGAGGGCTGGGGGGTAATATGGATTTGATAAAATATATTGTGATTGCTTACAACCATGTATTTTTTGTCAACTAATTTTCAGCCTTTCAAGGAAACTGAAGAAGGTCCATAATCGTCTAGTCATGAAGTATGGCGATGCAACTTAGTCGGTCAAATCAATGTGGTCTAAAAATTTATTTAAAAAGCTATTAAACCAAAATGATCAAAACTTAAATAACCAACCTACGAATGTAAAAGCAGCATGAAGAAGCCGACCTTTCTTATTTTATGTATCGTGTTTGTATATCGTAATGGACAAACTAACTCACTTGCAAAGCCTGAACGTTTTTACTTAATTTTTCATTTCAGTGACTTGAAAATCGGCGCGTGTCTATTGTAACACTCGGTCAAGAAATGGAAGACTTGTGTTATTTTGAAGAAACAAAAAGAAAACCCTCCAAAAGAAACACTGCGTATAGTCTGGCGCCCACATTTTCCCAAGCTGAACCTCAACAGTGCAGTCGGCCGTGCTCCTCAAGCTCCCCAAGTGGAGCGAGACAGCAGAGTCGAGGTAGGCATAATATACTCAAAACGATGAGAAATCAACACCGCACAAATGTTTATTCCCATGAGTGTTCTACAAGGAGAAAATGTTTTTTACTGTCACTCATCCTCCAAATCTACTCTTACAAATGCTTGATGTAACAGTTTTATGAGGAATACAGTGCAGCTCCCATTTTCTACGAGGGATACATTCTAGACCACAGGTGTCAAACTCCGGTCCTTGAGGGGGCCACTACTTTGCATGTTTTAAATGTTTCCCTCCTCCAATACACCTGATCGAAATGATCAGGTCATCAGCAGATCCCACACGACAGGACCACTGCACTGGCCCACTGTAGCGCTGAGGAAACTCTGAAAATAGTCTAACATTGAGAAATGATATTAGTCGGTCAAATCAATGTGGTCTAAAAATTAATTTAAAAAGCTATTAAACTTTGGTTTAATGATCAAAACTTAAATAACCAACCTACGAATGTAAAAGCAGCATGAAGATGAATTACAATGAAGCAATGTCAAAACCAATAGTAAACCCTTAAAATCGATCCTGAAACACGTGGAGGAAATGCGGTGACTTGAAAATCGGCGTGTGTCTATTGTAACACTCAGTCAAGAAATGGAAGACTCGTGTTATTTTGAAGAAACAAAAAGAAAACCCTCCAAATGAGATGCAAAGCATACTTCCTGCAAGCTGTTTATTTGTCACACTTAGTTGGAAGTTTCATGTAAAACTGACCCAGGAAAACAAGGGGAATTAAATTGCTGCTTTTCGCAAGGGGGTGGCGAAAAGAGGACACAAGATACCAATTGACACACCACAAAAGAGCGAACTCATTGCCACAAGATGGCGGCATAGTGGTATACAGTATACTGTATATGTCTAAATGAAACTCCTCAACTCATTTCAACATATTTCCTTGCCAACAGCATACAAAAAGATTCTGTGAAGAACAAACGATAGGGAGCAACTTACACTTTTTCAGAATGCAAGCTACTTATACAGTAAAATGACCAAAAAGTCCAAATGATCAACCGACTTTATTTACGGTACTCATTTAATATTTAATTCAAAATATACTGTATTTACAATTCTTCATATGTACAATACTGCAATTAGTCGGTCAAATCAATGTGGTCTAAAAATTAATTTAAAAAGCTATTAAACTTTGGTTTAATGATCAAAACTTAAATAACCAACCTACGAATGTAAAAGCAGCATGAAGATGAATTACAATGAAGCAATGTCAAAACCAATAGTAAACCCTTAAAATCGATCCTGAAACACGTGGAGGAAATGCGGTGACTTGAAAATCGGCGTGTGTCTATTGTAACACTCAGTCAAGAAATGGAAGACTCGTGTTATTTTGAAGAAACAAAAAGAAAACCCTCCAAATGAGATGCAAAGCATACTTCCTGCAAGCTGTTTATTTGTCACACTTAGTTGGAAGTTTCATGTAAAACTGACCCAGGAAAACAAGGGGAATTAAATTGCTGCTTTTCGCAAGGGGGTGGCGAAAAGAGGACACAAGATACCAATTGACGCACCACAAAAGAGCGAACTCATTGCCACAAGATGGCGGCATAGTGGTATACAGTATACTATATATGTCTAAATGAAACTCCTCAACTCATTTCAACATATTTCCTTGCCAACAGCATACAAAAAGATTCTGTGAAGAACAAACGATAGGGAGCAACTTACACTTTTTCAGAATGCAAGTAAAATGACCAAAAAGTCCAAATGATCAACCGACTTTATTTACTCATTTAATATTTAATTCAAAATATACTGTATTTACAATTCTTCATATGTACAATACTGCATATATTTGCGTACCTTGCATAACTGCACGAATGCATGTCAAATCAAGTGACAAATTTCACAACGGATTATAGGCGGGAGTAAACTTTTTTGTTTTTTTAAATAAAAGCAATGTCAAAACCAATAGTAAACCCTTAAAATCGATCCTGAAACACGTGGAGGAAATGCGGTGACTTGAAAATCGGCGTGTGTCTATTGTAACACTCAGTCAAGAAATGGAAGACTCGTGTTATTTTGAAGAAACAAAAAGAAAACCCTCCAAATGAGATGCAAAGCATACTTCCTGCAAGCTGTTTATTTGTCACACTTAGTTGGAAGTTTCATGTAAAACTGACCCAGGAAAACAAGGGGAATTAAATTGCTGCTTTTCGCAAGGGGGTGGCGAAAAGAGGACACAAGATACCAATTGACACACCACAAAAGAGCGAACTCATTGCCACAAGATGGCGGCATAGTGGTATACAGTATACTGTATATGTCTAAATGAAACTCCTCAACTCATTTCAACATATTTCCTTGCCAACAGCATACAAAAAGATTCTGTGAAGAACAAACGATAGGGAGCAACTTACACTTTTTCAGAATGCAAGTAAAATGACCAAAAAGTCCAAATGATCAACCGACTTTATTTACTCATTTAATATTTAATTCAAAATATACTGTATTTACAATTCTTCATATGTACAATACTGCATATATTTGCGTACCTTGCATAACTGCACGAATGCATGTCAAATCAAGTGACAAATTTCACAACGGATTATAGGCGGGAGGAAACATTTTTGTTTTTTTTAAATAACTCATTTACTGCCATTGACAGGCAGAGATATCAACAGCGTAAAACTGGGAGGGCTGGCAGTGATTGAGTTCATGCCATGAAGCCTAACGACACTCACTTTGCGAGCTACTGATAGCTCACAATCGATTTAATGGGCAGCCATGAACTACACTTTAATGAGGGCACAAGCCCAATGGTAATCTTGTACCCGTGATCTCTTGGTTAATTGTTATTGCTCTGGTGAGTGATTTGTCTTTTGAGGGGCATCAAAATATCTTGACAACTTAAAAAAAAAGAAGGAATTACGAATTGGTTGCCTTGTTGAAATTTTCGGTGTCCTTTGTGTTGACAACACCACCACAAAACCAACTCAGTAACACCCACTGGAAAGTTAGAGAAAAGTAGCCCCGACACCGTTTTCACAGATCGACGGGAATTGTCATGAATATGTTAATCAGGACATATAAAAAAGTTTCAAGGACCATGTCCAACATGTATGTTATCCATTTAGGAGAAATTCAGGACTTGTAGAAGCAAACCCCGAAGGGGGAATTCTGATTAAACCCCAATCAGAAGCAGGAAGTAGCAAAGCATTTCAGGCATGCCAACTAATGTTTGCGGAGCGTGCTATCAAAGTTGGAGATCATTTTTAGACTTAATGATAAAGATGTGGTGAGGGCTTTCTGATCGCTGCTCGCAGTGTTATTGCTGACAGTTGTGTATTACAAATCATGAGGGCTGGGGGTAATATGGATTTGATAAGATATATTGTGATTGCTTACAACCATGTATTTTTTGTCAACTAATTTTCAGCCTTTCAAGGAAACTGAAGAAGGTCCATAATCGTCTAGTCATGAAGTATGGCGATGCAATATTTACGATGGTTTTCTGCCATAATTTTGTTTGTGGAATCAAAACAAAAAACAAAAAAAACCACACACACCGAAACAAATGTGGCTTGTTGTGCAGTATCTTTATATGGAAATGAAGCAATGGTTATAAATTACCATAGTTATCTTATATATGTAAATACGAAGTTATGGCTGGGAAGTGAACATATTAATGAACCACCTCTGTACACACAGTTTTAGAGTGTTTGAACAGGAACCGCAATGTCGGAACCGAAAAACTGAGCCACATCACTTTACTGCACTTTTTTTTTTTTTTTTTAACTATACCACACGACAAAGCATATACAGTAGTAAAAAGCTTTTCTTCCTGGTGTGATTGGGGAGGCTTGCAGATAGAATTGGAATCACATCTCCTTGTGATGCATAACATTTGATAGATTCAGCTACATTTTAACATAAAAAAAAATTGAATGAGGGCTCCAACTAACGATTATATTAAAAATTGCTTATGCTATTGATTATTTTGTTGATTAATCGATGAATGCGATTTTTAACAAACATGTTTTAATTTCCGTGCCTTTACTCAAAAACAGGACATTATTTCAAATTAACTAATTGATTATGAGTTCATGGCTGGATTAGTCATGTCAGAAAAGAGGCAAAAATGTTGATTATTATTTTCCAAAGTAAAAGTCAATGTTTTATTTTGATACAACACTGGTCTGCTTTCATGCAAAGCTCCATCAATTGGAGAACATTTACTGCTGTGAAGCTGAAATTCAGAGGATTTTGAGAATTTTAAATTTGAAAAAAATGATTTATACTTTCCCAAACAAATGATTGACTAATTTGAGAATCGTTGACTTGTCATTGAATGGCTTCAGTGTTGCACCTCTAGTTTAAAGCAAGCAGTTTTCGTCAATTATGTCAAATATGAATCTTGACCTCTGGGCTTACAGTGCTCTTAAATGGATGGTCACATAAATGTTGCACTCATACATCTTCATTGCATTTGATGAGCCAGTACCCATGGCCCTAACCTCATCCATAAATTCTGCAATCAAGCATAATGCTAAGTGTGTTTTTGAGGTCTGGCATTTGTCATACATCAGTGACGCCATACGCAAGTCACTTAGTCGAAACCTTTGAGGCAGATAAGCGAATGCACATGGCACAGCAAACTGAATAAATGGGACATTTATTGTGCGCTTCCATTGCTTTTATCCACAACTTCTCTGTTATTGGTCCTATTTCCTGTTTACACTTGAGTGCAGTTTCTGCTGCCTGTCAGGTTTTATTATCACTAATAATTGCAGCTTGCTCGTTTCCTGATCTTAAAAGAGATGGAATGGCAGACACAAGTTGAGTCACATCCCCCCCTCAGGGCTACATTTGAGACACAATAGACGTGTGCCTTGCCCCGGCCACCCACTCTACAAGTAAATAAGGAAGGATGATGGGAGGACGGGAACACCATAAAATTATACCCACATGGTGTTGATAAGACCGTTTTCCCATCGTGGCAAGTACCTCTAATGTCGATTTGAGGTGAACAATTGAGTAAGCCCTTTTGTGTGAATAGCTTTTATAGACAGTCAAAACACCAAATGCCTTGTGACATTCCACAGTTTGGAATCAGGCTACGTTTTTGCGGTCCAAATTTTACCTGGAAAATTAGACCATTTCCGCCTTTTCATTTTAAACTGACCCAATATGTGAGGACAGGCACCTTGCTGACACAATCGAAGCACTTTGAGGAGAAAATCGTACCGGTCATTGTTTTACTTGATAAATGCCTTCGATACCACCCCTACTCCTAACGCCCCAAACCTTCATCCCTCACCTCCTGTCTTCTCCTTCAGGCAGCCAGTCAACACGGCGGTGAGGAGTAAGCTGTCACCACGGCGTAGATCTTTCCCCCCCGGCACATCACGCTTCCTGTAACATCATCCTTCCAGGTTTTGATCACGGTCAGGGAAACGAGAGGGGGTCGAGAATAAGCAACGGGAGCTGGAGGGACTTGAACAATGCAAAGGATTGTGGTCCTTCATTTTTTTCCCCCCAGCTTCGGCAAAGACTTTTGCAACCCAATACGGGTTCAGACAATAATCGCATCCCCCTGGCCGACCAATCCGGTGCTATTTGCGGCCTTGTTTGGACCTCCTCTCTGCTATCTCGCTTTCTCTCCTAACAAGGTCACCTGGCGCACCTGAATATGTGGAACACCCTGCCACCGTGACAGAACTGGCGAGTCTTAGTTTTAAAACTGGTGATTAGCACATTGTTTGCTGCTAAAGGGTTTAAGGGACTAAAACAAAACTAAGAGCTACTCTATGACATTAATGATAAATTGTTAGCCTAATATCATAATTGCGTCTAATTGTAAGATATCTATTACGTTACTCGTACCACCGGCACATCTCTCTTCCTCATTTCCTCTGTCGTCAAAATGCTTGTTAGAGTCCAAAATCACTGATTGCCGAGGTCATCTCTTTCACTTTTCCGCTACATGCAAAGATGGCCTTTGGCATGAGAAAGGGGGCTCTTCAGACCACAACTGAAACATTAGCTCTACCAGGAAACTGTGTCTTTCAACTTTTAATCACGTTTCCGTGACAAGCTATGAGGAAGTACATGTAGTGAACGTCACACTTCTGGTTAAATTTGGTGTGTCAATATCATTAAAAAAAAAAAAAAGGAAGAAAAAAAAACTATCACTGTGTTTTATAAATGTGTTAAGCAATTGTGCAATGACAAAAAAATAGCTGCCTTTTTTTTTTTAATCAAAGAGCAGTTGGTCAGTTTACCTTTATGAATTATAAATGGTTTTAACAGTATGATTTTGTAGCGGTAGCAAGATATCATCGTGATTGTATGACAATAATCATACATTTATGACAATTGAAATAGCATCTCTTAATAATAAAGCTAATGGATATGTCTCTATTTTTTCAAAGTTGGAAAATTATGGGATTGTAATTTCTGATTTTCTACAGACGGACAAAATGTTCCATCATTGTTTTGTTTGTACATTGAGGTAAGATACAAGATGGGCAGGTTTGTATGTGCTGTGAATGTATGTGTATGTAATGATTTGGATTTGGGCCACAACTTCCAGTTGCAACTTTTAAACGAATCATAAATCTGTTATATTATCAGATTAGTTACCATTTACAATGACAAAATCCAGGAGGCTTGCATCTCTTAATAATAAAGCTAAATGTCTATTGTCAGTGACTGAATTTAAATGTGTGTATCGCTTTGTGGACAACAACTACTTTCTAGTTGTTTTTAGATTAATATCTATTACAATGTTTACACAGCATCTCGCAAAAAAATAAATGAATGTTTCATCCTTTACGATGTGCATTTTCACTGTTCCAACTCCAATCATGTAAATGTATGTGGAATGTTATTATTATTGTGTCTTGAAAATGTTATTTCATACAAAATAAATGACTTGAAATCCAACTTTATCTGTTATCTTTCCACTCATATTTAAAGGGAATAAGGGGAGCCTCTTCTATTGGCCATTCTCTTTAAATCTTGATATAAATAGACTTCCGACTCAAGGGGACTATGCTCTAAAGTGACACTGTTCTGGGGGGAAAAAAAAGGTGAAACAGCAGATGAGCCTTGTTTTTTCAAGCGTGGAAATGGAAAAAAAGGCAAACCCAGCATATCTGAGTGAGAGATTTCCGGTGCGTGATGCCAGTTTTTTCCTCTGTTTTCAGTATTATTAGCTTGACTTTTTCATACTTAGCGCATGTAACACATATTTAGTCCACACTTGATGCTGTAATGCAGGCATAATGTGATGAGAAAAGTTTTCCACCCTTTTGTGTTACAAGTCAGCAGACATCTATGTTCCCTCTCTAGCTCTTCATTGTTTTGTTTTGATAAAAAAAGCAGCGGCTTCCTCTATGCTGCGATTACAGCTGGACTGTACCAGCATGCTGGAGCTAAGGGTTACTAAGCCACCTGCATGCAAGTGCGTCAATGTGTCATGTGCGACTTGTTTCCTCACATTGTGCTGCTGCTCGCTGGCAGCATCCTCAATGCGAATCATTGGACACTTCATCCCCCAGGAGACTAAAAGTGAGTTACGGAAAAGCCAAAACGAGCGATATTACGCTTTATAAATGTATAAATACCCATCTACTATTTACAAATGTGACTTTGCACTTACGTAACCGCTGGCATTGATGTATACAGCCGTTGTGAAAGTGCTGTATAAATAAAGATCTGTTATATTGGACATTATTAAACTCAGAGCAGTCTAAGCACACGCTATGCTTGACATTGCAGAAGCAGAAATTTTGTTAAAATTTAGCAGATGATTTAGTCGGCCGTGCATGTGAAGTGGGCAAGTATAAGCCTCCTTGGACCATGATTGAGCATCTGTGTGGGACAACTCCACCCCCAATAGTTCTGCCTCCCGGTTAGTAGGGTGATATGACAATATTTTTGAAATGATGCTAATCATTTGTTCAATTAATTGATTTCTACAGTGATTCAGGAGGACTGTCACATGCTGTTCTCATATTTATGGATGCCATACAATGATTTCCACCACACACGTCCGCAGTGTGCCAAATCGGTCTGCCTGCGGCTCGATCAAATCCACCATAATCGTGTTATACCACCCACACCACCACTTAGACTTGCCTTTTGCAAGTCAAAATCTAGTCTAATCTTTGTTTTCAAATTGACAGAAGCGATGGCAGCTCTGTGTGCCAGAACGCCCAGCAAGGCATAGCACGGTCCACCAAATTTATAAACACGCTAAACTAGACCCTGGCATGGAAATTAAGTTGTGTCCTTTTTTACCCCAAGCGCGGTCTACTTTCTGTCACTAAATTGTCAGATGCGCCGGGGGCGAGGCAGCTCTGTCCGTCGGAATGCCAAGCGAGGCGCAATGCGGTCCCAAACATGGTTAACTAAACATGCCCCGGCACAAAAATGAAGATGAAGAAGTGTAATCGACATGAAAATGAGAATCCTGGAAAGGCCAGGCTTGATTTTTCCAAAATGAAGAGATTGTTAAGTCAAGGCTAAAGCTTTGAGAAAGACGAGACGGTCGTTAGATAAAAGTTTTTCTGTGCAACTCAGTGAAAGTAATGTGGCTTGTTCCTCAAGACAAACAAATTTCCAACAATTTTTGGGTCTCATCCATCTTCTGGTCAGTAGCAGCCCACTGAGCTGTTTTTATCAGTAAGTTAAGCAGCCATGTGCGGTGCTGATAACGGGTGACGCCAGCCAGAAGAGGAGAGCATTTCAGGGCGCCTCTCCTGTGAACCTCCGGTTTCCTCTTGCCCAGTCCCGAGAGATGGATCCAAGTGACCCCACCATTGCTTCCAACAATGCTGTTACACTGTTGTTGACACTTTAAAGGCATGCTTGGTAGTTTGGGTGGGCACAGCAAATAAAGAAAATGTCAGTAAGAAAATGGACAGTGACGATAACAGTTAGCAATTTTACAAACCATCATAGTTCATTATTCCACTCGAAGAGAACCTCTTAGGATATCACTGATTTGATAGTGTGCCCTTTCAAGAATGTCATTCCAAATGTCACCATGAGCCTTTTGCGTGAATGTTAGTATGTACACTAGAGTGAGTTAGCATGTTTTGCTGGACACAGAGTCATTCCACAGTTCTATTGCGCTGTTGACTCGTGAACAGGAATGAAAATCAGTGCCACAGTTGGCGAATGCATCGGCTTACCAAATGACAACTTTTCCACTCTTATTTACATTTCTGTCTCAAGCTACAGTTGGGTTGATGTAACCTTGAGGTAGTTTAATCAGTCGCCACGTGTTTTCACACCAGCTGATTTTGTAACGGCTTTATCCTTGTTAGATTAGGCCTGTTTGGCACACAAGGCCACCCAGGCGATGGGTGCAGACACTTATTCAACTTCGTAAGGCAATCGCTGATGAAGGTACGGTCTGGGTCTGGTATAGGCGTTTGCTGATGTTTGCTGATGCGTATTCCCCTTTGGGGCCTAATTGCTGGGCGAGGGGCTGAATGCAAAACCACCTCCAGCGGGGGCCGCGGTGGAGTGGTGGTTGTGTTGGCCTTTTGGATAAGAGGCAGGTGCCTTTGTTCTTGCTGCCTTGTCAGAGAAGAACATCCTCACTTGATGGCTGAGTGGAAAAGGTAAGTGTGGAGGGGGTCGCTATCCCCGCAAGCATGTCCCGCCTCCTCAACAGTAAATTCCTTCATGGTGACAGTGAGCCTTGAGCGCAAGACACTTGACAGACCCCCGGTAATCCCCTCCGGTGGGTTTATCTCAACAAAAGGATCAGGGCAACCTTCCTGTGGGCTAAAAGACGGAAATTTCCACTTTGTATTAACAGCCTGTTTTTCTTTCATCGCTGCTCACCTTGACAGCTTCCTTGTTCTTGTAAAAACTAAAACAAACGATAGAAAGGTACAGCTGATGTAGAAGTGGCAAGGCAGGAAACAAAAATGTAATCAACTTAGTTATTCCACCTAATTTATGACTTAGCAACTTTTCTCTTGGTCACATCCATGCTTGTCCATGCTAAGGTCAGTTTCGTCAGACAAGGACGTTGTTCACTAATTATTAACCCAATGCGCTTGTGTCTTACTTCCAACCTGGAACTGCTCACCGTTCAATCACATCACACATATACACAAACAACAATACACACCGCCAATGAAGAGTTTTCAATTAATCCAACATGCAAGTGTTGAGAATGTGAGATTCTGAAGAAATCCCATGTGATCCCAGGGACGAACATGCAAACTCCACACAAACCTAGATTCAAACCTAGAACCTCTCACCTGTGAGACACTACTCATACTCCTTGCTGACATAACTTGTCCATCGATATGATTATTAGGACCACTGCGGTCCTTTAACAAAATGCCCTTGTCAGCCGTGATTTGCCTAAACGCACACAGGAATTGGTCCAACAGAATATTATAATGCCTGGAAAGTAGAAGCAGGTAAATATGCATTTTTATTTCCTATAAACTTCAGCTAGGTTCACGTGGGACAACATTATCTGATCGAGGAAGGCCTTGATTTTCTATCAATTAAACTAAAAATAACCTCCTGCACCTGTTGGAAGCCACTCTCATGTGTGCGGGCTGTAAAAGCAGCACAAAGAGCAAAGAGGTGCCCAAATGCCTCATGGAGGTGAGAAAAGCTGCACTGTGTGTGTGCTGCCATGTAACCTCTTCATGAGGAGACTAGAGTTAGATCAAGTGTGGCTGCGGGCCGTCGGTGATGAACAATGTTTTGCCGCTCTGCAGCTGCAGTTGTTCGGGGGGCGGGGGAGGGAAAAAATTGCAAACGGGAAAAAGCAGCGTCGGCAGGCAACAGGATGCACATGGCCCTGAGAAGGATAACTTGTTGGGTTCAGGAAATGGAGAGAAGGAGAGGAAGGGGGCCGTTTGGATCACAGCTGTGTTCAGATTGAGAAAATTCCTGTTTTGAAGCACACAGAGGCATGTTGCTGTCCTTTCTCAAAATTGACAAAGCGGCGGAAGAGCACAGTTGGTCCCAGCATTGTGCTTGCCATTGTGTTCGCTTGGAAATGGAAAATGGGGAGCCGTCGCTCAGTTATTCAGTCCACGGGATTGACAGAAATATTCAGCTATAGCTTTTGAGGAGTGACAAAATCAATCTTGGGCTTGACTTGTCCTTCCAAATGCATTATTTCTGAGAAACATTTGGGGATGACCTTTTATATTTATATATATATACTCTCTCTCTCTCTCTCTCTCTCTCTCTCTCTCTCTCTCTACACACGTGTGTATGTGTGTGTGTGTGTGTATTTTTTTTCCTCACAACACACCCTCTGTTTTCTTAAATTAATCAAGAGGCCACTCAAGAGTGTGGTCGGGGCCGCATGTGGCCCACGGGCCGCCAGTTGCTGACGTATGCGTGTATAAGCCTTAGTCACACAGTGACCGAGGTAAGCATAAAAGCTTTTGGAGTTTGCACAGTCACTGATCATTAACAACAGGACCTCTTGCTGATGTCACAGCACGTTGTTCACTCCATATTGATTAATAAGATAAGAAAACCTTTATTTGTCTCACAATGGAGAAATTTCCAATTTACAGCAGCAAATTATGAAAGCGAGAAAGTAGAAGACAAAAAGTATGTAAATAAATATAAATATAAATATAAGCATCGTAAAAATAGGTGAGTGGGGGTGAGTCCAGTATAATAATAGTTCAGTCAGTCATTGTGGCATGTTGAATGGAAATTCCATCCCAAATGTGACCTCCAACTAAGTCGTTCTTCTGTGATCTTTATTAGTTACTTTTATTTTTAAAAAATATGAGCGAATGTTCACAACAGACCATATTTGATCAACATACTGTAAGTAAGCCAACACTGACCTTCCAGAGGACTACTAAAATCTGCTTTATTAGAAATATACACTGCTCAGTTATTGAACGGTACAGGCAATTTTAAGTCACATTTGA